TATATATGCATTGTAATAATGATAATAATAATATTAGTGAATATTTATAATACAATCTGGCGCCCATCGAGCATGACGGGCTGTCGGCAAACTAAGATTATTTTTGCATTGTTTATATTTGGCACGAGTATGTAGTTAATAGGAATAATGAAAATCTATTAAAGCAATCGTGATTTATCCTACGACATAGAAGTGCTAACGGACAGACAGACAAAACAGAGTGATTACTATAGAGCACCGCGGTCTAGTCGACGGCGCCCTCAAAAGTACTTCAGTTTTTAAAACAAATGACTTGAAACTAAGTTATTGAAAGACGTCGTTTTAATTTATTATTTGATACAAAGTTATTGTTAAATACAAAGTTATATGTATATGTATACCTGGTTTCATAGATAACTATTTTATTATACTTCATGTCAAAAAGACAGATTTTGATTGGTTAATACGAGGGAGGCTATTTACTCTATCCCATGGCAAATACTCTATTACCCTTCACGGAGACGCTTGCTCAGGTGTGCGCTTTAATAAATACGGATGCTTGCTATGTACAAGACGTCATAATTTATTACTTTGAATTTGACATATAATAGACAGTAATAACAGAACATTCAGTATAATAAATTAAATAACACATATCTGAGAGGGTGATAAGAGCAGATTGTTACCTTGGCTTCGCCTCAGTTGACAATGTTTTCTCGGGGTAACAATCTGCTCTATCCCCCTCTCAGCTATGTGTTATTTATATAATAACTATCGTCCTGAACATGCATGAAATATTTGCCACTGGACGTTAAGCAACCTACAATCAATCAATCATATATAACTCAGATTGAAATAAATACGTCTCAAATTTAGAAGAAAAAAACAGAATAGCAAAGTATGTACAAATTTAGAGAAATATCATACACGATTTTGCGTATGAAGTTTAGACTTAATATAAGGAAAAGGAGATTTGGTATGATTGTCAATGTGACAAATATCCACCCGAGTTCAAATGAAGTGGATTTTAGCAAATATAGAACACTGTACGGCCTTCAACAATGAGAAAAACAAGCTTAAACAAGCTTTATTATGATGTATTTGATAAAGGAAAGATATTTCCAAGTTACATTAGTCAAGACATTAACTTTGTAGAGAAAAATTTTATTTTGAAACTTTTACAATATGTAAGAAACTTCGTTTGACTGTTGGGATCTTGCAAATATAATAAAACTCGAATTTCAATATTTCAGTTGTAAAATTTTTCTTTTAGGTTATTGAAAAATTCAATTCAAAATATAAGTTATCTCAACAGCTACAGTGCAAGATTTAAAAACGTTCAAATAACAAGTTTGTACCACCGACATTTTCAGCATATTAATAAAATTGAGAATGGAAATGGGAAATGTGTCAAAGAGACAACAACCCTACCAAAAAGCAGAAAACAGCCAAAAGCCACCAATGGGTCTTTAACACAGCGAGAAAAATGTCTGTGTGCGAAAATAACCTTAGTTTAATAAATAATAAAGGATTAATTTTTTGTGGTATTCTAAAATCATGCAGTGAAGTATATAATTTTCATTTGATATATGCAGAAAAAACATGACAGTAAAAGCTGTTTGAGCTATTGATACACCACGTTAGAATTTAAAAAAATTATATAATTTTGATGAGGGAGAATGGTTACAAATTCTGATTAAGAGATTTTGCAACCAAATTTAATTGCAAGTTCCTTAAAAAATCTCTTCGCGCGACAAAAAAATATATAAGTACTTGCGTGGTACTGTAAAACATTTCTATAATTTCACCCGTTATACAACTCCAATGTTATATACAGTCGCATGGGTCAAGGCCCTAAACATGACAAAACAAGCTATGATGTCAAATTGCCGATAATTGGACATGTGAAATTGATGACAGTGAACGTATCTCTGAATGTTATCAACTTCATTGGTGAACCTTGAAAACCTACTTAATTTGTTGCTATCTTAGAATTTTTATGTTTCCACCGATTTTAATATTTTCTTATGATAAGGGAACGACCATTAAATTCTGGAAGGGAATGGGAGTTACAGTTATTTTTTTAAATTCTAACTTGGAAGACATTTTGATGAGGGAGAATGGTTACAAATTCTGATTAAGAGATTTTGCACCCAAATTTAATTGCAAGTTCCTTAAAAAATCTCTTCGCGCGACAAAAAAATATATAAGTACTTGCGTGGTACTGTAAAACATTTCTATAATTTCACCCGTTATACAACTCCAATGTTATATACAGTCGCATGGGTCAAGGCCCTAAACATGACAAAACAAGCTATGATGTCAAATTGCCGATAATTGGACATGTGAAATTGATGACAGTGAACGTATCTCTGAATGTTATCAACTTCATTGGTGAACCTTGAAAACCTACTTAATTTGTTGCTATCTTAGAATTTTTATGTTTCCACCGATTTTAATATTTTCTTATGATAAGGGAACGACCATTAAATTCTGGAAGGGAATGGGAGTTACAGTTATTTTTTTAAATTCTAACTTGGAAGACATTTTGATGAGGGAGAATGGTTACAAATTCTGATTAAGAGATTTTGCAACCAAATTTAATTGCAAGTTCCTTAAAAAATCTCTTCGCGCGACAAAAAAAATATATAAGTACTTGCGTGGTACTGTAAAACATTTCTATATATTACATTATTTGTACTTTATCAGGAGAGTGTATATGTCCTTATGTTTTACTATACTGTATGTACCATCAACTACAAAAAAATGTTGGCGTCTTTGTCAGATTTATTTGTATGTTTTTTTTTAATTTTAAGTCAGTTGTGTTGTATTTTTACACAGTTTTGGCTGCTGGATCAATTATGTCTGTTTGGGTTAGTTTAGTTAAAACATATTGTATTTGTAAAAGAACCAAAAGAGATTGAACACAAGTTATAACAAAATTAGTGACGTTAAACCCCTTGTTTGGGTTGCTCGCCAAAAGTTGTCAATATACCGGAACTGTCATACAAGTAGGGGGTTTTGCTTGCTATAAAACCAGGTTCAACCAACTTTTTGAATTTACCTTAGAGTTCGGTATTTTTGTTCATACTTTTTCCCTAAATCTGTTGTTGTTTTCGAGTTCGATGCACACATGTACTAGAAATTGTAAACCCCTTTAAAAACACGTTCCGGTACATCCTATTAACTGAGACAAGTAAACTTCATAGCTGGAAAAGATGGGACTATAAAAACTGAAAACTTTCCGTAATTTTCAGTGATTAATGATCTTCAACTTTTATTTGATTTGGCTTTCCAACTGTTTTCATTTGAGCGCAACTGATGAGTCTTATATAGAAGAAACGCGAGTGTGGCGTACCAAAGTATAAGCCTGTTACTTTGACTAGTTTTCACTATTACTGCGTCGATGACACTGCTAGTAGACATTTCGTCTCCGATTGTATCTTCAGCCTAATAGTCAGCACATAAATGAAATATTGATTTGTTCATTTTCTGTAAATTTTATGTTTATAAAATGTTAAAATATTCAAACCACTATGGTTTGTCTACCCCTGGGTAGACAATAGGTAGATCATGTTATAGATCGACCGGGATGAAAGGCGGGTTTGAACTGCCACTGATAAACGGGGTAAATTCTAGCTATAAAACCAGATTCAATCCACCATATTTTACATAAGGAAATGTCTGTACCAAGTAAGGAATATGACAGTTGTTTTCCATTTGTTTGACCGCCTCGAGTGGTTTCGAACCCCGACCGGGTCAAACCAAAGACTTTAAAATTGGTATTTGCTGCTTCTCCGCTAAGCTCGCGGCATTATGGAGTAAGAGTAAGACAGGTTAGGTCGGCTCGGAGTCAGAATAATGTGTCTCCGGGTAAGGTGCGGACAGTTCTTTTTTGAACTAGTACGTTAAAACTCCGGTTCAGCGTATCGGTCTAGTAAAAAGCAGGGTTTATATTCATATCACATTAACATGTTCTTGTCCTGAATATGCATATTAGTTTGCCGCTGGACGTTAAGCAGCCATCCATCATCATCATCCATTCGTTTGATGTGTTTGAGCTTTTGATTTTGCCATTTGATAAGGAACTTTCCGTTTTGACTTTTCCTTGGATTTCGGTATTTTTGTTATTTTACTTTTTTCGATAGAGATGGAAATTTAGCCTTGAAGTTGTAACAGGACACCTCCGGACCCCTAAAACAGTTGTTACAAGGGTTCTTAACGCGCAGAGTACTTGGCACTCTCTCAACACGAGGCATTCATTCTGACCGGACGTGACTGCGAATTTATACATATCGCATTACAAAAGCGGTAGCTCTACTTTGTCAAGGGTTTTACTGCCAATCGAAGGAGACCGAGGGTGACCATATGTCTATTCCCAAGTCACCTTTGGAGTTGAATACACCTGGATACTTGGTGAAAAATTAAATGACCAGAAACAGCTAGTATATATAGAAAACATTGACAAACAAACAAACACAAATTTCGCTATAACTAGCCAGGTCAATAGAAAATTATGTTGGGCTTATAAAATTAAACCCTGCAATGAATTGCTAGTTGTGACCTTGACCTTCCAATAAACATTTCAACTTTATATATGGTGATTTTAAGATAGTATTTTCAGGGATGGAAACCAAGTATCATTAAAATACGTTAATGCCATTAATGCATTAAAAACGTTCTGAGACAGACAAACAAAATCAATGACACTGACCTTCCTTATGAATTTGGCAGAAGCTTTCGGAATTTCGGGTCCTCAATGTTATTCAACTTCGTATTTGATTCGGCCTTTTTATTTTTTTCTTATTTGAGCGTCTTTTGTAGACCAAACGTGCGATTGCCGTACAAATCGTTTAATCCTGGTATCTATGATCAGTTTATTCGGTCTTATTAATCACATAAACGGAATGAACTACAAAATAGAAAATGCTATCGACATGCTTTCAATGCTTTTAAAAGTTGTGAGCGGGGAAAATCAAGGCATGTTTGGATATTGGTTATGTAAAATTGAACCAAGTTAGTGACTAGTCAATCATTTTTAATATGTAATTTCAAATACATAAAGATTTTAGCCAGATGAGACTTTGCATATTTGTATATGGGGTATATAAAGTTGAATTGTTGCAGTTTCCAAAAGCTCGTTGTTACCTTTACCTCATTCAAAATTCCTTTGACAGTTATATAAAGCATCAGTATCATAAATATCCTTAATGGCATTATAAAATTATCAGCCAGACATAAATTGAAATATGGACAGACATGAGTTATTCTTATATATATATATATATTGTTTGACGATGAGTTAAAAATAGTATTCCCTGCATATAGCTGTTGTTCTGCAAATCCCATCAACAGGTAATCGCCGTCTCTCAATCTTGGAGTAGTAGTAGTAGTATCTAATCACGACCATAACTGTTGAGATTATCCCCAAACAGCTACATTCTCCATGCACTTCTCATCATCTCCACAAAGTATTGGTCTGTATCTACAGAGGCACTTACACCACTGTAGTAATTAATAAATTCTTCTTTGGTAACCTAGGTCACATACAAAATAAAGTCAAACATTACAGTATAAACTTGAAAAAAGATGAATAATTGATGATGATGATGATGATGATGATGATGATGATGATGATGATGATGGATGGCTGCTCTATAATGAATAATAGACAAGCTTCAATTTTAAAATCGCTTAAATGTTGCTATGACATTGTTACAGTATAATAACTGACGGGTGTAGTAATATCTCTGCACGTGTTTTTACTAAATTTCTTATTTCAATTCACTCCCTTTGACAAATGATATTTATAAGCGTCCCCTTACGCAATAGAGCACACGCACGCATTTCTTACATTTGATCAGATTTCATTAGATCGCTTAGATACCATTTTTTGTTTTAAGTCATACAAAAATCTTACATTGTGAATAACCATACTGACTCCTAAAACCAATACACCGAGGATGATATCAAAATATTGGTCTATTTGTTATCGAAAACACATTGTTGAGTTTGGTGGATTGGTATTTCAACAGACAGTCAATAATCAATGGATACAAATTGTTCACCCCTACTGGCAGACATGTTTCTGTACTCATATAAAGCAGAAAAAGAAATTTCTCTTTCGAATATAATGATGATGTCATGTCACGCAATAACCCACATTTCAGTGGGTGTTTGCATCCCATTCATCCCACTGAACTTCAGCTTGAGGATCTTGGACTTTTCCTTGATATTGACACAGATAGACGAATTCAAACAAGAATCTATGACAAAATGATGATTTTAACTTTCAATCGTCAACTTCCCATTTCGTAGTAATAACATATACTCTACCTCATAGTATGGCGTTTACATATATAAATTTAAACCTTACGCTCGTGCATAATCTTATCTTACGGACTTTATTAGCAGGAGTGTGTTCCTTACACAAGAAACTGCTCCAACAGTTACGAGGAAGAACGACTATAACCCACACTACATAAGTTTTACGGTCAGACATGTTTTCTTAGTCTTAGGGATTAAGATTATCAGAATAGTCGTCTGATCTGTAAAATTACCGATTGTGTCCTATTCTCGATTGTAACAATTTAAATGAGTGTAGATTCTCATAGCGGGGGTGCATGAATAGCTGGAGGCGATTACCCTGTCGACACATCCGGTTTCGTTCTTTTTAGAGTTCATGTGATTCTCTCACTTATTGTTGGTAAACTTGATTTGTCTACTTAATCGATTTATGAGATATGAACATCGGTAAACTACTGGTGCCTTAATTCACATTTTATTTGTTACAACATGTGTAGTGCAAACGGACGTGGTATGAGTGCCAATGAAACAACTCTCCATCCACATCACAATGTATAAAAAGTAAACAGTTATAGGTCAATGTACGGCCTTTAACACGGAGCCTTGGCTCACACCGAACAGCAAGCTATAAAGGGACCCAAAATTACTAAGGTAAAACAATTCAAACAGGAAAACCAACGGTCTAATCTATATAAAAAAACAGAAACGAGAATCACTTATGAACCACAACTACAAACGACAACCACTGAACAACAGGCTCCTGACTTAGGACAGGTGCATACAAATGCAGCGGGTTTAAACGTTTTAACAGGCGCCAACCTTCAACCTAGCTAACATGAAACAGTAGTGTAACATTACAACGTAAAAATACACATTATAAAATATTAATTGAAATGCCTTTTGTTTAAAATATAAGTCTACATGCAGCACCCATTTCGGCAAAATTTCCTTTAGGTAGAATTGTTATCTGGAGAAAATCAGATATGTCCTATTTCAAATAAATTTATTTCAGACCTGTGACAATTTTAAAAGGATTTTCAATATTTTCTGAAATTTTTAATATCAGAGTTTCATTTGATTACTTTGAGGTTCTAACAACTTATCGTATTTAACAAGAAATAAAATTATAAATGGGATAATAATGAATGAATCTTTATAACAAAAAAATTGTATTGATCATCAACATTCAATTTAAATAATAGTCCAAACGAAAACACTTTATCAATGTATTACTTTTCAGATACAAACTAATATATTTTGATTCCCCATGTCCTAATTTTATACATATTAATTTTACAAAAACATGCAGTTTATATATCGAAATTGCCTTCAATGCTGATTTGATGGATTCGTGTTATATTATTGAATACTCTTTAAAATATATCACTTCAACTGTATAATAAAGAAATTCTAATTTTTTTTTGCGTTCATTTTCCTATTGTGAACCCCTGCTGAACAAACCAAGAAAAAAACTGACCATAAATCTGTATTTTAAATTTAGTTCAATAGCACTTCTTTCAATGGCTGTGGTCTTTTAAAAGTCAGTCTTCTTACCAGAAATTCAGACAATTCATCTAACTTTGGATTTCTATAAAATACATTATTTTTCCATATTATGTATATGAATGGTGGTTAAAGTGTCCTTCTTTGTTATCGCCTGAATTAGTTCTTATTATAATAAATTGAAACAAACAAGTGGAAAATCGCAACATGGTAAATCACATTTAAAACTAACTACATGAGAAAAATAATATTCAAATATTGTTAGTTACCTTTCCGTCTTTAACTCCATGGTCAAACACATCAAGAAATTCTCTGAAAACTTGGTCTTCTGTCATTTGTCCACTCTTGTATTTAGGGTGGTGTTGTGCATTGTAAACACCCTTCAGGTCAGCAACGGAGATTACTCCATCACCATTTTTGTCGAACTTGGTAAATGCTTCGTTGATGATCGAGATTCTAGTCTGCGACATCGGAGGCTAGAAGGTAAAAAAAAAGAGAATCAAAATAAGTAAATAAATATCAAAGCAAAGTTGAACTCTGATAAAAATTGAATACTTCATTAATTTATTTATCAAACTATTTGCCTATCTTGTATTTCAATTGTTTATGTATCTCATCATTATTTAAGTGCTTCTTTCCACCACATGTTGAATAAAGAAATTAAAAAAAATTCGGACTGATCGTGTCGGTCTTGTACAGAGCAGTATATTTAGACAATAGTAACCCTGACCCTTCCCTAATTTATAAGCCTAATACACAAAAAAAACATTTCTGACATTCACCTTATATTGTTTTTTATACTGCCTCTTAAAATGGCTACAATTACATACGCAAAAAGACTCCCTAAACAAGCTCCAGATTGTGTGAAGAAAAGTGACATTTCATGAAATCTGCATATCATGAAATATCACTTTGTTACTATATTTGGTAAATAAAAAGGAAGTGTTCTAGCTCCAGTGTAAATTATGATTATAATTATATACGCATGTAGACTATATCAATCAATGGTTATCTCAACCAAAAGCTTCATTTATCTACTTTACCGGATCTCAAATGGTGTTTAATAGTGCAATTGCAGAGCAGTGAAAGATTCGTTTTCAAATTAGATAAATTGACTTTAAATTTAGTGCTTCAAATACTGGATAACATAATGTATGCATGTTGAAAGCTACTATCTACAAGAAAAAGGAAATTCCCTCAATACTTATGTTCCGTGTTAAGTTTTTGCTATATGATTGATTAATTATAGTTGGCTTTAAGTCTTCTTATATGATAATTACCCTTATTGCTTGTAAGAACTCGTCAAATCGAATTGTTCCACTGCCATCTTTGTCGATGTAGGTAAACAATTCTTGTACAGAACTTTCTGGAAAGCTAAGACCAAAGTCTTTTAGACCATATCTAAATTCCTCAAGACTAAGCGATTTACTGCCATCGTCGTCAATATTTCGAAAAGTTCTACAATATTAAAAAGAAGTTCGTAATTATAATTAATGTGTATTTTTAATTTCATTATATGCCAAACATTATACATGAACAAGTTTTCGATGGCTAAATCTAAAAATGCTTGTCGTTCGTAATTTGTATGCACCACCTGTTTATGGCAAAAAGGAAACAATCGTTACTATGTTTGCATTCGTTTCGTTCTTCGCGTTAACTGCAATTTTAAGTTTGTAGTGAAAACATAAATATAAAATTTGATATTGTAATCAATCAATGAATTTCAATCGAGTGTAATATTCATTTCATAAAATTCTTTCCAGTGGCCCGGGATTGATTTTGATGTCATGATCATGTGATCATATTTTTATGGTCAAGTTTCATGATAATATTTAAAAATACTCAGTTAATCGTGTTTAAGCTCTTTTCTAGACTTACATTTTCCTGATAAACTCGAACAAACGAAGATTTATAAATGGACCACAGATGGTTGGGGAATCAATCGACCCCGTTTGCTGTATTTTTTTTGGTGTCACGTTTTAATTCTTTTAGTGAATATTATTTCTTCATTATTTTTCACTTATTTAATGTACTTTCTCTTATCCATATGATGCCCTTTAGATAAGAATACGCGGGCATCATATATAAACTACGGTTAGTATCTTTAAATTATAATAGATAGAGGAATACTGTAATTGGTAAAAATGATCAGCTGGACAAGATCAACAAATAAGTCAAACATGGTCGAAATCATATATCTAAATTATTCTTGAAAGACGATTTGTTTCTACTATTTATGTGGGTTTTTGCAACAACTTTAGTTGATAGATGGAAATTATATATACCAAACTTGATCTGCAGGACAAGATCTACAAATAAGTCAACATGGCCGAAACCGAAAGCGACTCTTTATACGAGTATTGCCCTTACAAAACGTTTTTACCCACTTGTGTATTTTCCGTGGAATTTATAGTAAATATAAAAATAAGAAGATGTGGTATGATTGCCAATGTGACAACTCTCCACAAGAGACCAAATAACACAGAAATTAGCAACTATAGGTCACCGTACGGTCTTCAATAATGAGCAAAACACATAGCAAGCTATAAAAGGCCCCGACATGACAAATGTCAAATAATTTATTCGATAAAAACTAACGACAATTTATATGATAAACAGCAACAGAAGACAACCACGCAATTACAGACTCCTGACTTGGGACCGGCACATATAGAATGTGGCGGGGTAACGTTGATATAAAAATCAAAAAGATGTGGTATGATTGCCTATGAGACCATTCTCCACCAGAGACCAAATGACGTTCAAGTTAGCAACGTAATCATGTTTGCTGGTGCCCAACCCTCCCACTAACCTGGGACAGTTGCGTAACAGCGCATCATAAGAACAGACTATAAATTTCTGTTGAAAAGGGCTTTACTCATCGTATCGATACAAAGCACAAAACCAAGTAACAAAAACCCTTAAGACACAAAATACCTATATGAGAGATGAGAGTACTCGCAGTTACTAAAAGTTCGTTCAAAGCCAATAATTACTAATTAAAATCATGTAAGTCAACATAAAGTCAACAAAGCTAAAATTGTCAGTTGACTCCTAAAACATAAGTGTTTTGCCCTTGAATGACGATTTTTAACCTTTGTGTGTTGATTTCTTCTTCGTTAACTGTAGAAAATGCAGATAAACTGTAAATATCAAGATTATTACCAGGACAAAATCTCCAAATCAGTCATTTGCCTGAAATCGTCAGTCGAATCCTTACAGCTTGTATAGGAGTTATTGCCCTTGAAGGATGATGTAACAGTTGGGTTTTTTTTCGTTTTTGCTGGAAACTATTTGAAATACTCTCATTGCATTGTATATTTTTATGGAAATTAACAGATGAGCGATACAGGTTCCTATAGCTTGGAGCCTCATTAAATATAGTTTTCTTAATGTAAACAAAGAGATTTTGGTTAACAGTTTTTTTGAAATTAAAGTTGTGGGTTTTTTCATCAAATCAAAAAGTCCTAGGGATGGGCCGAGTTCGTAGAAAAATTTCTTTATGAGGAAGATTCCAGAAGGCAAATTTCTATTCAACTTTTTTTCATAACTGCTATATCATTCCATTTGGCTTGTCATGTCAAAATCAATAAGGACTCCAATTCCCGATGTCTTTATCACTCGGAAGATAACAAACCACGTTAGTCTAAAACAAAGTCACAGCAACAAAACCAAGTCGACGTTTACTTATTTATAGGCATACTGCAAAGTTTCACTGTTCAACAAGTTACTTTCTAAAACGCGAAAATGCTACCGTATTCAACTGTCAAGACATATAACCTCAGAGTAAAAGTAGATTTTATATTCATATGGGTTGTACGCTAGAAAAGTGTTAGACACGAATGCTCAATTACCTGCCAATGCCGTGTATACCACTAGCTCCTCGTTCTAAACATTTCGCTCTTAGCTCTGCGAGTTTGTCAGCCATTTTATTTACATGTAACTACGGATGCTCTGTGTTTAAACCGGTAATTATGTGAATCACCCACGTTTTACACAACTTACATGTAAACGAATGATACGGACATATACACAGGTAAATTGTTTACTTACAATAAATGGTCAATAAAAATAAACTGGTATGTTCGAAACCACGGGAAGTTTAAATATATGTTGGCTTATTCAATGGGAATAATGGTGACAACACATTCTTTCTAATGTTTTGTCGTCTCTTCACACTATAAGTAGACTCATAACAATCTATATATCTTTGTAATGCAATACGTATGACCATGGAAATATTATATTGACTTTTACTTCCATGGTCAAATCATCTTGAAGTTGTCTGGTTTTTTTCTCTCTTGCTGAGTGGAGATGCAAAATCCACCAGACAATAATAATTCAGATTTTTTTTTATCAAGGAATCAGATATTAATCAGTACAAAATTCACAGATGAATTAAACAATATGCAAGCACTATTTGTATATCCAATTAAAACGACATTTGTTGTCGGGCAAATCATGACAGTATTTGTTTAATTTCTTAGATTGATAGATAGATTTAGTTGATCAAATATCAACATGGAACATTACAAAAATAATATACAACAATATCAGACATGTTATAAACAAACTAAAATCACAAAATATTTTAACAATTGTTGATAGCTATTCTGGATGAGCGCATTGCATTTGCGTTAATTTTTTAAAATGCGGTATTTCATTTGCGCCACAGGGTTGAATTTCATTTGCGCCAAAAATAAATACTGCTTTTGCGCCAATATACAGGTAAAATATACAGCGCGTTTTAATAAAATAGAAGTTGTATCTTGAATACGAGTCTCGTATATATAAGAAATGTTGTAGAGTATCCCCATCCCTCGTTGGGTACTTAAAGGTAAAGAATGTATTGTTTTCACATGTTCAATGTGACAAAATTGATATATGGTTAATTCGGAGACAAATATAGGAGGAAATGCGTCTGTGAATTTGTAAGACCTCACATGAAGGATATCTAACGTATTGAAAAACGCAGACAAATGGAATAGATGTACTCAAACAAAGTTGCAAAGTGCAAACTAGCCAGAATCACCACAGATATGGACAGCAAAACCATGAAATGATACAGCCAACCACGATTTAGACAAGCAAAAAGTACCATGAATCTCAGCATTAAAAAAAAACTAATCAGCGTTTAATGTTTTCATTTTGGTTTATTGATGAATGTAATTTATGATGAATATGTTATATTATGGTATCAAAACTATGTTGTAACATAATTATTTTAAGTCTTTTTTTTTCAATATAGATCTATTATTCATACTATTTGCCTGTATTATTGGCGCAAATGGAATGTACTATTTTGGCACAAAAGCAAAGCACCGATCCAGATTGGCTATGAAAGCATTACCGTAACGGCTTATTTCCAATCGGGGGTCCATTTATGACGTCATTTATGTTACATTGTTAAAAAATATTAAAATATGGTTATAAGAAATCATTACTTGGTAGGTTTTATAATGACTATGCTAAAAATAATTGACGGTGACATTGATTAGAATATTCAATAAACAAAAATGGTTTTAAACTCTTTGCATTCTTCTGACGGAAAATCTTTAACATCAGATTTATAAGATTTAAAATATTTGTTTTGCTTTAAATCATTTGGCAAACAATTCAAACGAGAAAACTAACGGCCTAATTTATGTTCAAAATAATAAACGAAAAACAAATATGATACACAGAAACAAACTACAAGCACTGAATTACAGGCTCCTGACTTGGGACAGGCACATACAGAATGTGGCGGGGTTAAACATGTTAGCGGGCGCCCAACCCTCCCCTAACCTGGGACAGTGGTGTAACAGTACAACATAAGAACAAACTATAGTCAAAGTACTGAAGTACTGAACATCGGATGACCGCAGGTTCTTGTGGATGGTCAAAAGCACATGTCACAGAAATAGATCACATCTCTATACCTCAAACTGAGGTTAATTTACAGAGATATATTTTTTTCTGATACAAGTTCGTGCATGGATGATGAATAAATGACAGGAAATTCAACCGCACCGTAATAACTATTATATTGTAGTGATACAAATCAGTATACCTGGGACTATTATACTAATATGATAATAGTGTCAGAGTATACACGTCTGGTTTGTTGTTATACATTATATTAATATTACGGTTGCATGTATATATAATTTTCATCTATTTATATATCATTCTATTCTACTATTCTAATTATAGTGCAGTGCAAGTGCATGGTGGACACTCTTCTGTAAAAAAATCGATTTTTCTAAAAGATTGGATATGAGAAGCCATTCATATTTTCCCGCAAAACAATAACAGAGTTATCGGTCCTTGCCGGGAGTGTCGCAAAACGTTCTTGAGATATTCTTCCGTAAGCTTTAACACAATTTTTCGGTACGTGTGCATTTATATCATCAATGATTTTTTACTTTTATATATATATAACTAACGACAACACATTTTCATATTATTGATTTGTGTTTTAATAAAAATATTTATAGGAGTATCCATTGAAAAAAATGAATTTGAAACAAGCGATAAGTAATGTTATTTTGCACTAGATAAGTAACCGCGGATCTATAATTTTTATAGATCGGTTGAAAACCCAAAACTAATATGCATAATGGATATTTAGGCGATAGCAATACATCGATATGACCTCACGGTCATCGCGATGTAAAAATCAGATACAATCAGAAATACATATAACAAAAACACAGAGTGGACGTGGCAGGGTACTTATAATACATGTTGCCCAATTATATTTGGTATAAAAATGTATTCACTAGATCTTGAATAATTATGATAATCTATAGATCTTAGTAAAATTGCCTCGCATGTAATAATGGCTTTTTGTTTGTTCTTTTACTGTTGTTGTCTGTTATCTGCTGTTTTACCCCGCATCTGCACAAGTCTCCAACGCAAAGATGTAGGGTTATCGGCATCTAGCCAGGAATTCCGTTAAAGTCGGTGCTAAGGATCGTCTAAAACATGCCTTGATGCGTAAGTTTTTTTCACTCCGTCTAGCCAGGAATTCCGTTGAAGTCGGTGCTAATGATCGTTTAAAACATGACTTGATGCGTAAGCTTTTTTCACTCCGTGTTGAAGGCCTCACTGTGACTGCAAGGTGGAGAAAAGCAATAAAATCCATGTTCCTTAGCTGTTTGGATCTTGAGAAAGGAAATTAATAAAAAAAGATGAAATTGAAGATAACTTTAAATGTAAAATATCAAATAGTGAAAGGTTTATTAACAGGTCATTATCTATGAAATCAAACACGGATTAATAATTATATTTTAAAATAGTGATTTTACTTGTCAGAGACAAAATACCAAAATTAATTAAATGTCTTCGTGAATATAACAAATCCTACGCAAAAACAGACAGCACTGATCTATTGACATGCATTCTAAGTTTTCTCAAACAATAAACTTGAAGAAAATTACAATGTAAAGAAAAAAAAATACATTAATTCATCATAACTGACAACCTTGTTTATGATGTAAAAAATTCGGAGGTCAGTAAGATGTGATTTTAAAGATGAGTTGTCTCTAATAAAGTGAAAGTTTAGAAATGTTGAGCACAGAATCAAGATACATGCAGTGTATTACAATAAACAACGAAATTATAGATTTGCTTGTTTTTTTTAAAAGAGACGTTTTAACAACTGTATTAGAGGTATACAAGAAATGGTTTGAGATTGAGTGACATGCATATCATGACGAATACATTTTAATATGATATGAAATAAAAATGCAATGCTTGCCTATATTTTACTGAAGAAAAAATTAATTAACGAATCCCTGGTCAACATACTTGTGAATAACAAGGATTTATGTGGTACCGATGTATAAATCTTTTTGAGTGTCAAAAAGAATATGTGCATACTAGGTTATCATAATGCTGGCGTATGTATATCGAACGCTTTAAAATTGTTTAATTTTTTTGTGGAAATGTGAAAAATACCTCAAAGACAGGCGAAAGATACCAAAGCAACATTCAAACTCATAAGTCGAAAATAAACTGGTAGAGCCATGGCTAAAAAAGAAAAAGACCAACAGACAAACAATAGTACACAAAACACAACATAGAAAACTAAAGACTGAGCAACACGAACCCCACCAAACACTTGGGGTGATCTCAGGTGCTCTGGAAGGGTAAGCAGATCCTGCTCCACATGCATTCTCTTCACTATTTTTATGCCCCCGCTGCTAGGCGTCGGGGCATAAAGTGTTACCATTTCCGTCCGTCCGTCCCGAAATTGGTTTCCGTTCTCTAACTTTAGTTTGCCTCAACCAAATGTTATAAAACTTATACAGACAGTCGGTATTCCAATGGGTACTAATTGTGCACCCCTTCTGGCCAACTTGTTTTTGTACTCGTATGAAGCAGAATTCATTCAAAACCTTCTAAAAGACAAAAAGAAAAAGCACCTTGCAAAGTTGTTTAATTTTACTTTCAGATATATTGATGATGTCCTATGACTGAATAACCCATATTTCAGTCAGAACATGCATCTCATATATCCCAGCGAACTTGAAATTAAGGATACTACTGATACAAGAAGGACTGTTTCATACCTTGATCTTTTCCTCAATATTGACACAGATGAACGACTTCACACTAAATCTATGACAAACGGGATGATTTCATCTTCCCAATTATCAATTTCCCATCTCTCTGCAGTAACATACCCTCTGCTCCGTCGTATGGTGTGTACATATCTTAATTGATACGTTATGCTCGTGCATGTTCACACTATACTGACTTCATATACAGGAGTGTGCTCCTTACGCAGAAACTGCTCCAACAGAGTTATGAGGAGGAAAGATTAAAAATGACACTCCGTAAATTTTATGGACACCATCATGAATTGGTTGATCTATACGATGTGTCTGTGTCTAACTAACTAATGACGCTTTTACCACGTCTTAGATTGTGGTTTAACATCTAGACGTCGTCTGTCTGCTAATACCAAACGTGACCTGTTCCCGAACATGACTGTTATACCGACGGTGAATTTACATTGCTATA